AATATCTGTATGTATGTGCGCACCATTTCACTTGGGACTGTTTTATCAACGAGGGACAGTTCAACGCTGGATTTGCTAGATGTCTGAAGATAAAGAATGGATCCGTACCAACTATCCGTCATCCTACTACAAATGTGGCATCTGTAAGTGTGGACATTTTATTTTGACTTACTGTTTAGCCTAAATTCCCCCCCTCAGCACGGCCACCACGCTTTGATAAACACACCGGATCCGCGCCGGTTTACCGGATCCTCCCGTATTTTAGCCGCTCGCTTCTTCCCCTACAACTCCGCCGGCAGGGGACAAAATCCCCCTCTGGAGCAGCATGTAGCTTTAGCATTTACCCGTGCGGCGACACGCCTCTTTTGGCTCAAATACAGGACGTCCCGGCCAATGCTGGACGGTCGGCCATCCTATTAATTAGCAAAGGCTTCAGAGAAGTTTTAGAGCACCAAAATCTTACATTGTAGCAGAGCTCTGGTTGTATTTTTTTTTACATTCATATCTTCCTCCTTAAGCGGGACCCTCCTGGCGGCTTTGAATAATACATAGGATGTGTCGGCTAGGTCGCTTCAAGTCGCATTTGGTCTGAACGCGACCTGAAGCGACCTAGTCGCGTTGGTCGGTCACATCGCGCCCCGGTGTGTTCACACCGGGTCCAAAGCTGCAGTCACGGAGGTCGCAGGACGCGGCTGGTCGCCGCTGACCCGCTTCTCCCAACTTCCTTCTCCCTCCTTTTGTCCCTCATATATACATCCCACAGCCCCTTCCAGCGCTTGCGGCACACATCCACTGCAAAGACACACACACACACACACACACACACACACACACACACACACACACACGTTGAAACATGTAGCCTAGCAAGCAGGGGAAGTTTGCTATGTTTTCAGAAAATAGTCTGCTCACTGAAATAAATAAACAAACAAACTTAACGGAAAGCCCGACATCGTGGGCCACCTTCGCCCATGCCTCCTCCTTGGAGGTGCAGTCCCGGTAGAACGCACACCCCATGTCGTACAGGACCGGGTGATAACTCACGGCAGTAATAAACTGCTACTCCATTGTGATTCTTCTTCTCCTCCTCCTTGCTTCGCCAGTTTATTGACGTCAGCAGAGCCCTGATTGGCTGTCGCGGCACAGAGTCGCTCCCAAAGTTCAAATATTTGAACTTTGGGAGTGACGCAACTTGGCGTCCTGCGACCTCGGGCGACGCGACGTTGGCGACCATGCTTGGTCGCCGAGGTCGCTGACGTCTTTGCAGTGGATGTGTGCCGCAAGCGCTGGAAGGGGTTGCGGGATGTATATATGAGGGACAAAAGGAGGGAGAAGGAAGGTGGGAGAAGCGGGTCAGCGGCGACCAGCTGCGTCCTGCGACCGCAGCTTTGGACTTGGTGTGAACACACCGAAGTAGTATCTAGCATGTCCGAATTGGCCACCGGAGCGAGTAGCATGCTACTTCAGATACTAGACACGCCCACATTGTAGGTTGGTCTCGGTGCATCCTACGGGCATGCTACTGACCCAAAATGCAGCACGGGCTTCTTCTTCGTCCTCTTAAAAGTTGTAGAAGCGCATGTGATGCTAGCGCCACCAGCTGCTCTGCCTATTTAAATGTGTCGCGAACGCCGGCTGGCCACAACAGCGCGCACCATGTCGCGGGACCGCAGCAGTACAGATGTAAGTTTCATGTAACTTCACACACTGTCCTAAAAAATGTGCGGTTGTATCTCTTTGTCATGTCATGGTGTCATATTTGCCCAAGTAATCATTTTATGAGCAAATATGTGGCGACATCATGGAGGTAAAGCTCACTTATTCCATCATTAAACTGCACAGCTGCAGTACTACAGCCAGGCCCGCAGGTGAGGGGCTTCAGTTACCACTGTCTGCAAGGGCGCAGACCCGGTGTGAACACACCAGGGTGCGACGCGACTTGGTCGCCTCAGGTCGCGTTTGGTCTGAACGCGGCTTAAGAGTTTCTTCTGGAGCCTCTCCCTCTGGGTCAGACTCTGGCTCAAACTGGTAGGGTTGTACGAGCAATCTTCTTGCAGCCATGACCGAGCCAGTGTAAACATTAGCACATGGCTATCGGAGCACAGCCACAGCCCCTTCCAGAGAGATGGGTGTAAAGTGGACGTGGCTTAGGTGCAGCTCATTTCATTAAGGAGACATGGCCCAAAACGGAGGATTTTGAGCGGAGCTGTTTTTAGATGATAAAAAGAGCACTAAAATAATTGATCCAAATAGAATTTTGACCGAAGGACGTCACAGACATGCTTTTAACACACCAGGGGACTATTTTAAGTTGTGTGAAATTGGCATGCCATGGGACCTTTAAAGAGAAAACTATGTATTCAGAACTTGGAGCTCAGACATCGAATGAGTAAATAGATGGAGAATCAGAACTGGCCTTGGTAAGTGTTAAAGAAAAGGATTTTCAGTGAATGTTTGGATTATAAAAGGAGAATAATCTTTGATCCTATATATATTTCCACATTTTAAATCTTTTGTAGGATTCATTTGTGTAAGTTTCCTAAATGGAATTCAGATTTTCATGAGGTATAAGCCAGAATGATAAAAAACAAATTGAACTAAACATGCCGCAAATACATCTGACAACAAGCCTTTTTTTAATCAAATCATGAAGGTACAGCTTTTTCATGATATCCTAATGTATTGAGATTAGTGCTGGGCGATATGGATCATTTTATATCACGATAACGATATACCATGATATAGCTATGGTATGCTTTCAATTCTATGAAAAATTAAAGTGTATACAGCTGCCCTAGTACAGTGCCAGTACAAGACCAGCACTCAAAAATTGAAAAATGATTAAATAAATACGTGGCTGAAGTGCGTTCATGTCTGTGCTCACCCAAAGTTATGCAACACTCACAGAAAACGCCGATAGTGTGAGCCAAAGCACTCCATAATAATAATAATAATAATAATAATAATAATACATTTAATTTGTAATGCACTTTACATTTACAAAAAATCTCAAAGTGCTGCAGTACACAGTAAAAAAAGAGCAGCAACAATAAAAAAGCAATAGAATGACAGTCACAGATTGGCATAAAAAAAGCATAAAAGAATTAAAAAAATTAAGAATATAGAGTTGCAATGTAAGAGGCAAGGTAGTAAAAGCATAGAGGAAAGCTAACCAAAGGCTTTATTAAAAAGGTAGGTCTTTGGGGCTCTTTTGAAGAGGTTGTTCACACTGCTGGATGTTTCTCCTCCAAAGCTGCTCTCTGCCTCCGTCTCTTGAAGCACGTAGCAAGACCCGAGCATGAATCCGAGCGCTTTATTCGCCTATCAGGGGCAGACAGGTAAGGTGATTTGATTCGCCACGACTCCAGAAATGATTGAAAAACTACAGAATGTCACAAAATTACATTTCCTCGCGCCTGGCTTGAAGGATAGAAATGCGCAGCCGCGCTCCCAGCTGACAGGAAGTCAAACCACTGTTGTAGTTCTTTTGTGTTGCTAGCGCGGTCAAGAGTGTTGGCTCTCACTGAGAGATGACTACAAAAATGGACGCACCTGTTCATCTGGTTGTTTAACACGGCTGAAAATGATCATCTATTAATGTTGTTCCCGCTCCTGCCCACTCCCGTTGCTTTTTTTCCCGTCCCGTACCGATCAAGGGATTAATTAAGGGATTAATCCGTGGGATTCCCGCGGGAATCACGTGACCCACGGGAATTCCCGAAAAATGTCATCCTCTACAGGGAAGGTCCCGGAGCAGATGAAACAGGTGCCGGAGCGGCTGAAATAGGTCCCTGATCCGATCAAAAGAGGTCCCGGAGCGCGCTCCGGCTTGCTCCGGCACAAATTAAGCACTGCTTACAATGATCCCCTCACGTGTGTAACCCAGGTAACCCGGACACGAAGAGGGCACGTAAAGCGGCGTCATGTCGCAAAATCGAAAGAGAAATGGGAGCCGGCAGCTGCGTCCGAATTGCCAAGTAGTAGTCGAAGTAGTATCTAGCATGTCCGAATTGGCCACCGGAGCGAGTAGCATGCTACTTCAGATACTAGACACGCCCACATTGTAGGTTGGTCTCGGTGCATCCTACGGGCATGCTACTGACCCAAAATGCACCACGGGCTTCTTCTTCGTCCTCTTAAAAGTTGTAGAAGCGCATGTGATGCTAGCGCCACCAGCTGCTCTGCCTATTTAAATGTGTCGCGAACGCCGGCTGGCCACAACAGCGCGCACCATGTCGCGGGACCGCAGCAGTACAGATGTAAGTTTCATGTAACTTCACACACTGTCCTAAAAAATGTGCGGTTGTATCTCTTTGTCATGTCATGGTGTCATATTTGCCCAAGTAATCATTTTATGAGCAAATATGTGGCGACATCATGGAGGTAAAGCTCACTTATTCCATCATTAAACTGCACAGCTGCAGTACTACAGCCAGGCCCGCAGATGAGGGGCTTCAGTTACCACTGTCTGCAAGGGCGCAGTACCTACTCTCCGCCTGCGGGGGTCGTCTTTCCCCACCGCTCGTCTAGTGTGTCCGAATTGGGCCAACGTGTTTAGTATGTAGGAGTAGGATCTAGCAGTAGCACGTAGCAGTAGCATGTAGTATCCGAGCGGGCAGTTCGGACGCAGCATACATGTCAACGCATCCTTTTCTTTCTTCCGTTTGACACCAATGAATCATCTGATGGCACAAGCCCTATGGATAAAATACAGCCTATCGCTTGAAACGCTAAAAATAGAAATGACGATATCTATCGTCCTATCGTCCTAATTAATTCATGCTAAAATTATGCTTCTGAATTCTGCTCAACATTTTTACATTTAGTAGAGCACTCTTTCCATTCCTATGGGGTTAATTTTTTTCTCCAGATGACGGAATGACTCATGCTTGACCTTCAATAAAAATAACAACGCTGTTCTCTCACGCTGATATCCAATCCCCACAGACTCAAAGAAGAAACATTCTCCTGCTCACTTCTCTCCAAAGACATAAACCAACTTCACACCCAAATTTGTTTTATTGATAAAACATCTCCAGAAGAAAATATTTACAAAATATCAGAGGGCAGAAAATAAACACTGCCTTAAGATCTGATTGATTCAGCCACCAACCTCACAAAACAAACATGCATCCTGACAGAAGTCTAAAGATCTGGGAGGTTGTTCCATGTATTACACAGTGATAAATTCCATGGGGGGTTTCTTTCAATGTGGTGCCTTCAACCCTCTGCTCATACATTTCCTCAAAAAATAAAAACAAAGGACATTTCCTTCACTGAGAAAAAATAACGTTAAAAAAAAAAGTATCTGCACGCACAGTTACTCTCATGACCTTCCTAGACTGAGAAAAAGGAAGATAAGTACATGACTGATGACATTTGAAGCAATTCTCTAACACTAGTCTTCAAAAGGAGATCTCTCCTTTCAATGTGGGGTTATATTCACTCAGCAAAGCTGGTGTTTTAACAAGGATCACCTAAAGTGACTGAAATGGAAGGGTGTAACATCAAATGCTAAAATACCGACATGTGATGTGGACACACCTACAATGTTTGTGCTCTACAGTAACAGCAGAGCAGTTTCAGCTCCTCCTCCAAACCTGGAGTTCAAAAGGATCAGTCCCACTGCACAGTTGCTTCTCTGATCGCTAAATTTGACCAACCTGGTTTGACATTTTTGTGCGTGTTCTTAGGGTATCTCAGGAAGAATAGGTACATCTGGATCTCCTGAAGACAAATCTTTAAAGGTGACACTGTGGATTTAGACTGATTATGTGGCAGGTTATAGGTGTCCATAATAGCAGAAAATGAAAGATGGAAAGGTCAGATGAGGTTCAGAGGCAGAAGATTTATCAGGATAGCGAGGGGATGGGGGAGTCGACAGAATCCAGGGGTTCCCAGTGAGAGTTCATCAAGGCATCGTAGAGCTCTTCACTGCGCTGCATAAACTCTTTATTCCACAGCTCCACATCACATTCGGGAATGGGCTCTGAAATATACCACACAAGACTATTTTAACACCATGGAACAGATTGATATGTGTTGTTCACTGTGGACTGTATCAGTAAGAGTGGCTGATATATCGATTGATGACTGTTTGTTTGATTGAATGATTGATATTTCATGCTGCTGTGTACTGTAACAGTCAGGGTAATTGATCAGTTGACATTTATTGTTTGCTGATATGGGTGACTGATACTTGTTGCTGCTGTGTACTTGTCTTGCATGTGTGATGTGTGTCGCCTGGTGCGATCACTCAATGTTCCTGTTCTTTTATTTGCAAACAGCGGACCATCAGGGTGTCCATGACAAATTTCCCTAAGGGGACAATGAAAGTTTATGAAAAAATGAAATAAATAAAATGCACTGTGTGTTCATCTTCTGTGCATACATGCAAATCAATGGGTTCAAGTCAGGTCAATTATAGTGAAAATCCTGCTTCACACTGACACTTCGTAAGATATCCAGACAGAGGCTGAGGTTGTGGGTTTATGGGTCAAATGTGAGATGTTTATTTTAAACACGGACAAAAAAAATCTTTGGACTGAAAATGTTTTCTACTCTAAATCATATTACCTGACCACCAACCAATGTGTGTGTGTGTGTGTGTGTGTGTGTGTGTGTGTGTGTGTGTGTGATGGTACCCATAACCTCAATGCATTGGCAAGCACGGCCAGCCCTTCTCTGCCTCTGATTGGCTAAAACTATGTCTCTGGCTGACTTTATTTGTTGAAAGCATTGTCAGTGAATCCCTGTACAATTGTTAGATTGGATGCAATAATAAAACATTTCAGTTTGGATCAGTTTTCTGTTTTCAAGTCTTGGTTTGGTACATTTTCAGCACAGAAATAGAATCAAATGCAACATAAAACATTGAAAACACATAAAACAGATTTCTCATGTTTTCAATGATAAATGATTAAAAACTATAAATTCATAAAAAAAAAATAAGTGGAATATAAAAAATAATAATGTTGGGTCTGACATTAAGCCCTGCCAGGAGACAAATGCGACAGAATCTTACTTGGTGAATACATTTCATGATTCTATTCTTTTTATACCAGGTCAATGGTTTTCTGTGCCAAAATGAAGCCACAGTGTCAGTGGCCATGAGGGCCATGCTGCGTGTATGGTGCTCTGTTTCACAGTGGACTGAAATTTCTTTGAGTTCTACACACATTCAAATGAGCTTGTATCTGCATCAAACCAAGGATGCCATAATGAAATGATTCAGTATGCAGACATCTACCTCTCCACCCCTCCAGGCTATAGTAAACAGGTATGGCTGGGTAAAGTGTTGAAATAATAAGAATCTTATCTTCTGTTGGACAATACTGTGACAACACAAGCTAACAAAGTTATCCTGTATGATAATGGTGTCATGAAAAGCCCCATTCAAAAGGAGACTCCTTACCCTCTGCGTTATCCTCTTCTATACCTTCAGTCTCCTCGTGGCTCTGCTGAAGACAGACATCACACATCATTCTTTCTGAGTTCCTTCAGTGACTCTGGCCTGATGCTACCGGGCTAAAACCTCTATATTTTCTATCAGGGTAATCAAAATTCAGCTGTAATATCTGCACAGACTGTTTTGTGCATAGACTTGTGCAAAATGAAAATGACATTGCACCACTCCATGTCATGCTCCAGTCTGAAGACTTTTAAAAACAAACAAAAAAAAAAAACGTTTTGCTTTTTCTTGACAGTTTTACTGCAGTTCAATCAATATGCAGCAACAGATACAGCTTTCACTGTTTCAGCACATTGTCTTAAAGCGACTAGGAAACTTGAAGGTGACTTCCTAAGACTCCTGAACATCTCCACAACTAACAGGGGTGAAGAATCTGATATCTGCTGTCAAGCCCACAGGTGTACATGTCCTTATCACATCTGATCATGTGTGAAGTCATGTCTGGGCTAGAAGCTGTAAATGCTGTTGCTAGTTCATCTGCCAGATGTTTCTATGGAGGTGAAGTTGCTTCAAAGTGAAAAACAAATGTGAAAAAATCCTCAGCACAGTGCCTTAAGAGCCATATTCAAATTAACTCATCTCTTTTTTTAGAAAAACTAACAGCCAATGTTTGGCCGATTCTGATTGGAACAATTGGTGTTAAGAAATATTCAATGTAAAACTCCTTGACAGTGACTTTTCTGTGAATCAGCTAATAACTACAGCACTAAAAACAGGGATCTTGCAGAGATTCTCCCAGCTTTGATGAACTGTGCTTGAATGTGTAGAACAGTGCAAATTTAAGCTGACTCTTAGCTGTGGTGGCTACAAGTAGGACAAACATGCCATTCAGTCAATTTTAATCGTGCTACAGGATGAATTGAACCTCAACTAAAAGACATGACTGATAGTTTGTCCACCACCTGTATAACATCCCAACTGATCCCTTAACGTACCACATAAATATAGAAAACCATTAATAGACCATATTCCTACAGCAGTCATCTTCACATGATGTCACGCTTAGGGTGGTGGGGGGCCTAGGTGAGTAGTAGAAACATATTGGACAGCCCATTAGCTAACATTAGAGCCATGCCATTTCAGCGTTCAGCCACGTCTTAGTCAACGTTAACATTTAAAATCAGAGATCGGCAGAACAGAGAAAGTTTTGCACAAAAGTTATGACCATTTTATAGATTAATCCTTTCAAAGTGCTTGTTTATGAGTGTTTTACATCACATTAGCTCTCCACTCACACAATGTTAAATACTGTACGGGCAGACGTCTGTGCTCGACTCAAATAAGTGACCCTGTAAACTGAAAACTTGCAGCCTGTTGCTACATTAATGTCACCGTCATCATCATCATCATTAAAAGTCTCAATGCAGGAACAGAATGAGAAACCTTACTCATGTTAGTCAAGAACTGGTAATGAAATTAAGATTCAGACAAAGAATACAGCAACTTTATTGAGGCGAAAATCGTGGATGCTGAAGTCAGTTCTTCGATGTTGCACATACCATTTCTGTTTAGTTTAACATGATGTAAAAACAGACAGTGACATAAACACTGACACTCCCACAGTAGTCATCTTTGAAACAATCACTGTACTTGAGCAAAAACTTCTCCTTCCCCAAGAAATCTGTGATTTTTAAAGCTACTGTGAGGAGATTTTAACTGGTTCTAAAGTCGGCTGGAGTCAACAGTGATGTTTTTCAACTGGGAATGATGAATCTATATTATATCGCTTGAGTTTCTATCTCTTCCCAACCGTGCACTTACCACCAACAGGCCACCGACCTTCATACTGCAAAAATACAGTGGCAAAAAACACTATCAATGACAGAACTGATGATTATTATGATGTGAGTTTTCATTTCTGTAAGTGCTGTGAGTAGGTAGGAGTAGGCCTGGGCGATTTGGCCAAAGAAATTATCACGATTTATTTTGTCATATCGTCCGTTCTCGATTATTATCACAATTTTTTTTAAACTGCTAGTTTTAAAGCATCTGTACTAAAAATGAAAAAAAAACTAGAGATTACATCAACATTTTAGTAACATACAAAGTAAATAACAAAGCAAACTGAATAAGAAACACTTAGAAAAATCTAAAAAAAAACATTTTAACTCAACAGTACTACATGTTCTATATGCTCTCCCGTATGAGGCTCTCTGAACATCTGTGCATGAAATACAGCACTCTTTTATCCGCGGCTGCCCTGAACGCATCACTCTCGCATATTTCGCGTTTGTTTTCCTTTCATTGAAATGTTTATTTTCCAACAAACACTGCTTAAATGTAGTTTACAGCTGAAACCGACCGGAATCATCCCAAACTGTAAAGTAAAAGTATCAATCCAGTGTCTGTGGGGCTCAGCAGAAACACAGGACTCTCCGGTTGTCTGGAAACTTTGGACAAATATAATAAACCGATTCATGAATGAATGCGGACCATGCTACGAGAAATTCCCGGGAGAAATGACAATACGGGGGGTGGGTGGGAGATAGGTCTGAAATACGGGAGAGTCTCGGGATAAACGGGAGTGTTGGCAGGTATGGATATGATTGATCGCTGTTTTGGTCTGGTGGCTGCACCGCTAGTTGTGGCTAAACTGCTAATGCTACTCGTGCCGTCAGCAGTGACAGGCTGTACAGACTCCACTCACATTTTCATGCTTCCCGCATACTCACTCGGGAAGAACTTGTTCAAATGATTAAACAGATTTGTTATGTAGCCGGTTTATCGGCTTAATTGCTCGACGTCACTTTGGAGGGACGTTGAATAACTTCTCAACTATAACATCTTCTGAGGATGACTCGAAGTCACGGCTCACATCTGTTGTGACGCACATTTCTGCCATGTTTGATCAAGTAAATATGCTCTCAGCTGATCACCGTGATCGTACTGAAATTTATCACGATCATCGATCACGATCATATAATCGCCCAGTCCTAGGTAGGAGTCAGACCTGATGATTCTCAGTGATGAAACAGTCTGGTTACCCTTTATCTGATGCAAATGTTTACAATCCCACATTTCACTGATGAAGGCCACTTTTTCCCGGGACTTTCTCACTGGAGTTTTAAGCCCAATTGTTTTGCCAGAAGTGGTTACTTGCTCACACCAGCTGTGTTCTAATATTCACTGAAGGGCTGTGAAAGGTTTTTTTCTTAACCGCTATTGTGACTCAATCTCTTTCCTGAGCGACTCTTTCTTTAGCCTTTGTGGTTTCTCATCAATCAGGGAGCTGTGAAATGACAGCAGTCAAACAACAATAAAAAGTTTTCCACCCTGGGTGTGGCGTCACACGAAAATGCCCACTATGGTAATATGGTCAATTTATACAAGAGTGAGTGTGACACCATTCTCCTCACCTCTACTGCTGACATGTCTGTGGACATGGGTGGCATCCCCATTGGAGGTGGGGGCATCATGTGACCTGGTGGGGGGTAGCCATAGGGCCCGTAGTTGTAGTTGTAGTTGTAACCACTGCCGTAGCCACTGTTATAGCCACTGTTATAGCCACTGTTGTTGTAGCCTCCGTACTGGTCATAACCTCCCCACTGAGAGTAGTAACCTCCATGACCTCCGCTGTTATGACTGCCGTAGTAACTGGACTGGGACTGGTTGTAGTTGCTATGATAATTCTGGCCCTGGCCCCCATGGTAGTTGCTCACCTTCTGGCTACAACATGAAGAGTACATAAGAGTTTTATTAACATCTGAAAGGAATTTTGGTGAAAAGAATACATCAATCTAAAAAAGGTTAGAATGTTTAAATGAATACTAGGGTGTCTGGGGTAATTTGTCAGTGAATCTTCAGGTGTACAAAGGTGACTAATAGGTAAAAAGTAAAACATTATATATGAGCAAGGTAAAGGAAATGAATGTAATCAAAGAATTACATAAAGATGTTTTGGGGCAGCTGAAACTCAGTGTTAGAGTTGGGTTAGATTTGTTAGGTTTCAAGTATCATCTAACATTTATCATACCCAATGCTCAATTGATGATGCAAAGGAAATATACTATTTGTTTTTGTGAGACGACAATCTGAGAAGGTCTCAATTTAAAACTCAAGAGGGATACTTGGCGTTATTGATTTTACGAAAACTATGCTTAATATTGTGTTATCAATACACATGTTAAAAACTGAAAATACCAGTGCATCACCTAAACAAGCTGCACATCACCTAAACAACCCCTAAGTGTCTGTCTTAAGGACTCTATTCTTTGTTATTAAACTCTGGTAATGTGAAGTTTTGGTGAAATCTAATACACAGAATTGTCCAATCTATCAGTGACATTTGCTGCTTTTATCTGTCCTTGTACCTTGCACCTCTGATTTCCTTCCTCTTTTCTTGATCCTCTCTCTGCTTAACAATAATTATGGGCACTCCTTAATATGATGGCCCCAAAACTACTTCCACGTGTTGAAGCATGGATGTGTCTTACTTAAAAACAGGCTTCTTCCTGAGATTTAAAAAAACCAAAACCTCTGCAACCTCTGATCCAAGAGTTGCTTTGAGATCGCTCCTAAGGCTCTCCTAGATTGGGACTATGATTGAGGTTTTTAAGCTAAGTCAGGGGCTTTCTGTGAAATTTGTCACAATGAATGTTAATACCTGCATAGGCTATTGCTATTGCTATTAAAAAGAAAATAATTACACTATGCAAGTAAAAGATGTACAGCTTGGATATTTTGACTTGTTGCATAATGCGTCTTACCTCTTTGCCACAGCAATACTCAGTCTGAGTGGTTTCCCCCCAAGCATCGTCCCCTGGCACTCCTCAATCGCTTTCTTCTGCTCGCTTTCCTCTCCAAACTTGACAAAGCCATAACCTCTGCAAGCCAAACAATCGTTACATCTCCACTCAAAAAAAAACCACAAGCTCCAAACTTGGTAATTGAAATGGCCATATAAAATGAGAAGCAGAATATAATGGGTATTATTATGGTAGAACTGAAACTTGTTGTTTTACTTTTAACATGAGGTAGCATCACTTGAATTGTGAGTTGCTCTTGCTTAGCCTATATGGGGAAAACAATAGTTTCAGAATAAGAAGGTAAGAAAACAATTCTTCAGCCTTTTGTCGAAAACAGATGAAGATGCACTAGCGGTCAACGTCCACAGCACTGCTATACAAATTATCATTACAGAGAAAAGAAGCCTAGACACATTTTCATGTAATTGTACATTTCTTACAATAATAAGAAAAAAAGGAACATTACACAACACATCTGATTAAATAAGCAAATAAAAAAATCATCATTTTCTGAAGCCACCCTGATTTCTAGTTGACCTCTGTGATCCCACATACCTGGAGTATCCATACTGGTCGGTGACCACTTTGGCTCCCTTGCAGGATTGGTACTTTTTGAAAACTTGGTGAAGCTGGAAGTCGTCCACCTCAGAGGCCAAATCACCCACAAAGACTGAGAACTCTGGCCTGAAAGTAGTGAAGACTGATTTAAAATCTCTTTGTTTTATTACAGACTGGATCACACTTAAAAGATGAAATGCAGCTTTTGAGAAATGTTAAATCATGTTTGAAGGATAGGCAGTGTATATTGTTGACATTTCAGAATAAAAGCAGGTTTTTCTACACTGCTAACATGCCTCATCAGGTTAAACACAGTGGTTTTACCCCAAAGAATAACTGCTTCTGAGTGAAGCATCTTTCTTAAAATGACTGAGAAAGTACAATGCAAAAATTGGAGGTGAATCAGATCTTACCCTGCCTCTGGTCGCTTGCCGTAGGTGGCATAGTTAAGCTTAAACTTCCGGGGCTGCACAAGGGGAGGGACAAAAAAAGACTCTTAGCCATCATCAAACACAAAAGCTGTGTAGTATAGCACTGATATTGCTGGAAAAGAGTGGAGTTATTATGGTTATTATTTGGGTGTACATACCTCCTCCACCACCCAGACCAGCTTTTAGGCCCAATCCTCAGTTAGTTCCTAATAGAGACTCTATTCACCAGCTTCAAACAAAGTACATTCATGTACAAGCAGCCACCTTCAGCAGCAGGTATAGGCCAGTGGACAGGGGAACCCAGTAGCTTGGCCAGCTCACAGTGCCAACAGCATTTCAAGATCAGTAGCCGGCAGCGAAAGCTCACAGCTGCTCACACTACTCAGGACTCACAGCACTTTTCAAGCTAGGATGATTTACTTTTGTTTACACCTGCAGATAGCGTTGGGTGACAAATCGATAACGATGATTATCGCGATAGAAATTTCCTCAATATAAATATTAAAAATGTTACTACTGCACTCTTGATGTTTGTTAGAGCCCAATGCTGAACAGCCTTTGATATTGCAGGCATCGGGGCCAGCAGGGAGAGGCCTGATGCAGAATGGTTGTTGTTTTTTTCACTAAAGATTCACAAGATCACAACGCTGATTCTGTTCGCCTGCAAATGTTGAATAACTGCATGTGTTGGCATTAAGCTAATGGACAATATATGATGCTGCCATTGCTGCAGCAATTGTACTTCCTGAGAGTATAGATTACTTAGTATTGTGCTTAACAGTTTAAGCAAATGTGCATTTTTAACTTTGACAATGTGGCAGATTAGGATTTCTTTCTGTATTTTGTCTTTTAAAGAGACATTACAAATCAAGACATGCCCTGCACCTGGAGGACACCATGACTAAAACTGTTTACCTGCAATCTTCAGCCAAACTTCAAGGAGGTCAGAAAGTAAGTCTATTTTTTTAATTGTTCATTCACGTTTGATTGCCCCATAAACCCTGAGCCTGGTCCATCCATCCATCCATCCATCCATCCATCCATCCATCTTAAACCCCTTATCTAGAGTTGTGTCACGGGAGCAGTAGCCTAAGCACAGAAACCCAGACTTCCCTCTCCCCAGCCACTTTGTCCAGCTCTTCCTGGAGAGACATAGTCTCTCTGGGTGTCCTGGGTCTTTCCCATGGTCTCCTACCGGTGGGACGTGCCCTTAACACCTCACCAGTGAGGCGTCTGGCAGGCATCCTGATTAGATGCCCAAGCCATCTCATCTGACACTTCTCAACACAGAGGAGCAGCAGCTATACTCCGAGTCCCTCCTGGATGTCCATACTTCTCACCTTCTCTAAGTGAGAGCCCAGCCAACCTGTGGAAGAAACTCATTTCAGGCCTTGTACCTGTGATCTTGTACTTTCGGTCACTGCTCACAGCTCATGACCAAGCCCTGACACTGGTTGTACAGGAAACGCACAGCTCCTATATCAGGATGTTCGGGACCCCATACTCCCAGGGCACCCCTCATAGGATTCCTCCCACCGTACAGTGTTGAAAGTTTACTGCTTCTCCCTCCTGAAACACTGGATGGTGGTCCAGAACCTCTTCGAAGCTGTCTGGAGGTCGTAATCCGTGGCCTCACCTAGGCCTGGGACGATGATCAATCAATCAATTAACGCTAAACGATAAATGAAAATGAACTCAATAAGTTTTCCGGCCTCGATATATGGCCATGTGCATGCGTGTATTTGTTTTCCTTGTCCTGTCCCTCCAAACATGCTGGATGACAAGAGGGTTCACTTTGTGCACCGGTCTCAGCACCTGGGCGAGTTTGTGCCTTAGTGGAATGAAATGAAGGGAGTGAACCATCTTGTCAGTCATTTAGGATCTTTGTATCTGTGGGGGGAGACGCAGCTGCAAGCACGCACACAGACCGCAGCAAGTGAGCCTCGTGAGGAGCATGGAAGAGCTTATTGCAAAGCCATATGGAACAGCCCGGGTGTGGCAATATTTCAGCTTCAAGCCCAATGAGCAAGGTGGGACCATCAACACAGACAAGCCAGTATGCCGACTTTGTTGAATTATGGTAGCGACAAAAAAAGACAACATAACAGACTTTGATGCCCACCTTAAACAAAATCACCCAGTCAAGTTTTTCCAGCTGGGGAAAAAAAAAAAACCCGAAATGCCGAGCTGTTGGCCCAACAGTCAACATTTACCGAAGCGTTTGGTCGACAAAGCAAGTACAGCCAGAACAGCACAAAATGGTGTGTGCTTACAGAAAGTGTAGTTCGCTACATTGCCAAAGAAATGCTACCATTTGGTACGGTTGAAAAGCCATCATTTCGAGAAATGATACAAACTTTTGACCAACAATACGAATTGCCAGTTAGGAAAATATATGATATATTAACATTACATAAGTGGTTATTTTGGTCAAGATAATGTTGACAATAATATTGTTTTTCGTCAATAATTTGTGGGACAACATATCGTCCAGCAAAATTTTTTTATCGTCCCAGACCTAGCCTCAACAAACTCCTCCAGTGCCAGGGTTTTTGCCTCAGCAACCACCAAAGCTGCATTCCGCTTGGCCATCTGATATCTATCTCTGGAGTCCCACAGGCCAAAAAGACCTGATAGGACTCTTTCTTTAGCTTGATGGCATCTCTCACCACCAGTGTCCACCGATATGTTCAGGTATTGCCGCCATGATAGGCAATAACCACCTAATGGCCACAGCTCGATCGGCTTCCTCAACAGTTGAGGCACAGAACGTGGCCCACTTAAAATTTGTGTCCCTCACTTCCCCTGAGACATGGTTGAAGCTCTCCCGGAGGTAGTAATTGAACTCCTTCTGACAGGAGACTCTGCCTCATAGACTCATAGGCACAAACAACAGCCAGGATCTGTCCCCCCACCCATAGGCGAAGGGAGGCTACACTCTCGCACATTAGGGTGAACCCCAGCATCCAGGAACCGAGCTAGGGAGCAGCAAATATTGCCATTCCTGCCCAGTGCCTCTCACCAGGGGAAACTCCAGAATGGGGAAGAGTCCAATCCCTTTTTAAGAGGACTGGTTGCGGAGCCCACACTATGCGTAGAGGTGAGTCTGACGTCATTTGTAGAAACAGTAAAACCCTTGTCGAAAACTTCTGTCTTTGGTGTGCGATGCGCATATGCGCTGCGTGGGTACGTGACGGCGCTCTATCCTCAAAACAGGAGACAGTGCAGGTGGAGAAGACTTACTAAGCCAATGAAAAAAGAGGAGAACTTTCAACCACAATGTCTAATACGGGGTTTGTAATAGAGGTAGCATTAAAACATATGCACTTGCACAAACACAACTAGATAAAATTCTTACTCGCACATGCTGAAATAAAAGTCTCAGTTGTAATTTTGGTGAGCCCTGTCAATAGGAAAATGCTTAACAGCATGTTGGAAATTTGAGTTTAAAAAAACCATGACAGACCAGCTGACTAGCACAAAGTGTTGCGCACACTCTGCAAGGAGTTATCTTTTTTACCAAAGCACTTTCATCTTAAAATACCACATTACCACAATGCATAAGAGTTTAATTAACACACTAAGTGCATATATATTCCCTTCCTTCTTGAGTCTCTTTGCTCATGCAAAATGAAACACTATTTATATAGATTAAAATGACTGAAATTTAATCATGATTGATCAAAACTAATCCACAGCAACCCTGATCAATCGGATTAAAATTTTAATCCTTCAACAGCACTTACAAAAATATGATCGTGTTGTACTTTAGCCAGAAAAACACCATCATAAAGTCATTATGAACACATGAACTAACAGCGTTAAATAAAACTGGACATAGTAAATTGCTGATGTAATAAGTCATAAATTACTAAGACTGTTATTCATGGATACTGTTCGTTAGTTAAAGATATGGTTATCGTAAATACATGAATAACTTGTCAATGAACTCCAAAATCCAAGCATTAACTAACATTATGAAGTTTTGATAGGATTAATAGTACAGTAAAGTTTAACCATAATAATTGACATCTATCGTGATAATGATCGATAGCGAATGATATGAACATTTCTATTGTAATAACATTTATTTCACATCGCCCAGCCCTACCTACAAACCCTCATTTATATCAGCTGTCACTGCAGCAAAATTTGGACTACAGTTTTAGGAAGTAGTATCTGCAAGTGCTTGAAGTTTCAGATTAAATTCACTGAAAATGCACAGTAGTGTTAGCAATATTAGGGATGTAACGGAATGAAAATTCTACTTTACGGTTATTGGGACCAAAGTTATCATGGTTTTCGGTATTATCATGGGATTTTTAAAAATGTACTCAAAGGCATAATGGCACTGATTTTGGCAATTTTTGATGCTTTTAGTTAGTGCTACACAATGCCTTATTTTCATCGTTTAATCGTATCTAGACAGGATTACTGTCGCTAACTAGAGCCTAAAGCCCACAGGATCGGTGTTGAGCGTGTTTCGTCAGCGTTGCATGTTACGCAGCAAATAGGTTCCCATTCTAATCAATGCAGCATTACACACAGGAAGTGTCTCAGCTCTGTCTCAGAAGCATGTTGAGCGCTGTTCTGCTAAAGATATACACCAAGTCTATTTAGCTGCTCTACGCTTCCAAAATGCGTCAAAATGAGACTATCCTTCTAGGCAGAATGTCATGCACAGAAACCGCACATGTAATCCGGTAGATTTCAAAATAAAACACCATATGCGGACTCTAAACTGTTTATCAGTTCCTGTAGATGAGAAATACTTCCTGGGTATGGATTTATCAATAACACGGCACAATGCAATGGTCTTTGACGTTGTCGTCTCCTCCTTCTGCCATGATACCATTTCAAATAGAGAGTTTAAATGCAAATTGTAGGCTACACAGTGCGCCTGCACAGCTACTTAAGGAGACTCGGAAGCTGGTGATTAACACAGGGTTTCCCCTACATGCAATTGATTTTGGTGCACTGCCACGACTAAATAAAAGCTGCCACACCTTAAAAATATATATATTTTTTTTTACATAGCTCCACCGCGGATTTATATGTAACAGTACACATACGTGCGAAGCGCGCATTAGCATTTATCATCAGCAATCACACAGCTGATTAATTAGTGAGTTATTTTCCTCAATCACACAGCTGATTGATAAGGGAGTTGTTGTCAGCAATCTCACAACTGATTCATTAACCCCCCCCCCCCCCAAACACACCGGTTTTTGAAATAAAAACGGCAATAGATATAATCAACATTTTTATCACGATTTATCAGTACACCAGTTACCGTTACATCCCTAAGCAATACACAAACAATCAGGCAGGTCTGACACAATTTACCTGTGTTTTAACTAGGGATGCACCGCAATGAAAATTGGCTGAAAAACCTAAACACAGAAAGAAATTATTAAATCAATTATTAGTACCATTTCATTTATGGCTACGACTGTGTACTAATCCTACTAAACTCAAGGCATTGCAATGGTATAAATTAATACTCATTAAAAAAATTTATTAGTATTAATGTATCCAATTGCAATGTGAGTTTTGAGTTTTTGAGTCAGATTGTTACTGCAAGTTCTGTGTGGTTTACACTTTTAAGATGTGGCCTGCAAGCCAGGGGCAAAAGCAACTCAAAAGTTCTAAGAGGAGAAGAGTTGTGAGTGTTAGAGACACGGCTAGAAAAGAAGTAGCATCAGTGTTTTTTCTTCCAAATAACCAAGAGCAGGAGCTGAGCGTAAGTTTGCATTGTAATGTTGACTTCTGTTAAAGTTACGAATACAAGTGAGAAGAAGTGAAACTTCTGCCTGGCGCCCCCTTGTGTATTTGGCTGCAACATCTGCCACAGACTGATTGGGTGTGCTCAGAGAGATTTTTCTTTTCTGTGCCACGTTCTTCTAATATTCAGAATGGGGATTGGGATGTTTGGATTTCAGGTGAAAAATTAAACCCAAGGTAAAGTTACTCTTTGCAGATGCACCCCATGTTGGAAAGTTTACCAATGCAAATTGCTATCTGTGGTTCTCAGATATACTGAAATACATGTTGGCTCCTATCCAGACAAGCACGTGCTGGCTGCGGTTTTGCGTCATCACAACATCTTATTTGGTGTTGTTTCGGTGATAAAAGCAAATTTTTCGTGGCCAAATTTTCTGTGCATCCCTAGTTTAAACAAAAATCTTTTAAAAGAGCAAGCCCTTATAATAATGACCTATAAACAATAAATTTTTCAGTGACTGTTGCAAAAAAAGGAGGACCAAGACTAATTGAGCTCCACTATCCACACTCAAATCAACCATTGAATATTGCTTTACAACATGAGTCTTACACTGGAAAAGAGGAAGGCAGTATTACATTTTTAATGGTACATATGATAGATAATAAAATATTTTTGAAGGAACAAAAATTATACATACGGCATTTTTAAAAAAAGGCTGCATCAAAGATTCATGACTTTGCAAAAACACAAAAAAAAACTGACCGGATTTGATCCAGGAACCAATTTTCCATTGAGTCTTTGGACACATCGATCGACACTTGCTTCATCTGCCAGCTCCACAAAGCAGTATCCCGCTGATCCCCTGTACAGGAGAAGAGAAATGTCAGGGTGGAGAGACACTTGTTTCGCATGAAGTCTAAAACAGCTTTTAAAGGTTGACAGTATACACACAGTTTTATGCCACCTTCTGGAAGCACTTCTAAGGTTAAACAATCGCATTTGACTTCACGTAAAATTGAAAAGTTAAAAATGCTCATCTGCGCTCATTTCCTGGCCAGCACTTGATAATAACAGTTATAAACTGCCATACAAGATACACTAGAACTCTGACTGCATTCCGATGAAGTAATGATCATAAATGTTCTTCCCTGAGCTGCAGAACTCTGCTGCACTCGTTGATCGCTACAGGGCTCCCCCACAAACAACAGCTTCTGGAGGAGAGTGGGTGAGTTGTGTTTAGTCTCTTTGCTTAAGAAATTAGGCAAAGCTAAAAAGGTGTTTGGTTGCTAGTACTACGGCTGGGACCCTATATGTACTGTTAAAAGTTAGGTGCTGTTCTAAGTATTATTTGTGGCTATAGAGTGGCTTTTTGGTTGAGGTTTGTGTGTGGCTCCTGAGCCCCCTGTGTATTGCCATTGCTATTGCAAGCAGTCAGTGACATTCATCCCTCGAGGGGGTGTCTAACTCAGTGTTACGGTGTTTTTGACCCTTAATTTAGTCTACACTGGAATATCCCTTTAAGACACCATATGCTGCTTGTAAAGTGTGTTTAGTCATGTTAAACACAACAGTGAGACAAGTGGTCTAAAGAGGCACGCTTGCAAGGCAAATCTCGGAAAATAATAATAATAATTCATTTTATTTGTATAGCGCTTTTCATGATACTCAAAGACACTACATAAAGCACACAATTTGAATATAGCAATAGAATAAAATAAACAAATATAAATAAGTAAAATAGTCACATGTTAAAAGCAATTTTTAAAAGGTGGGTTTTTAGAAGGGATTTGAAGGAGGGCGAGTCAGTGCAGGATCTGATATGGATGGGGAGAGAGTTCCAGAGGGAGGTTGCAGCAATGGAAAAGGCCCTGCCCCCCAGGTTCGATGAGTCATTCAGAGGGGTGGGGATAGGAGGTTGGCATCGGAGGAGCGGAGGTTGGGGGGGTGATATGGTCTCTGGAGCGGGTGTGGGTGAGTAGGCGGGCGGCAGAGTTTTGGATGGTCTGGAGTTTTTTGACGAGTTTGGAAGATAGTTTGGAAAGAGGCAAGATGTGAGGTAAGCATGGTGTGAAATATGCACTGTTGGACTTTTTTTTTTTTTTACTACTGTAACTGAGCTTCAAAAGAGCTCAGTTAAAGGGACTTAGCAGCTGCTCATCCATAGAAAAACTAAAGGGACCACAGGCCATGTATTATTTATGTTTTGTGCTCTTTAGTGAAGGTTTTTGTTTGGATAGAGGCAATAAATGCCCCTCAATATTACCACAGATTAACTATTCCTGTTGCCATATCTTTCAAAAATAAAACTGTAGAACTCAAGGTAATCTAAAAAAGAATGGGGAGAGAAACAAAATTCAATGTATTGCCTAAAAACTAAAATAATTAATAATAATAATTAATTAATAAATAAATAATGGGAGCGGTACAGGAGTGGGAGTCATTCTGAATGGCAGCAGGAGTCATTTCACCAGGACTGGGATGGGATACGATTTTTTTTTTTTTGGCCTGGGATAAGGATGGAACAGGGGGGTGAAGAGTGATTGAAGATAATTATTAGTATAATAGTATAATAATCTCTTAAATACAACGGAGTATGAGGGCCACATTAAGACAAAAAACGTTTTTAAGTCTTAGACAATAAAGTTATTATTTAGGAGAATAAAGTCAATAATATATAAGAATAAAGTCCTAAAGTTACCTGTTGTGGAGGAGAGTTGCTAAAATCAGCACTGAGGAGCATTTAGATGAATTGTACTTTAGTATAGGTTTCACAAACATGGAGATACTTAATCCTTTGGTACATGAGCGTTACACTGTCAGAACTTTAAAAAGAATATATGAGAAATGCTGCTTTTGTGGAGGGGAGAATGGCTGGAAATGGCTGTACAGAGGCTAAATTCATCAATACAGCTGTTAATAGCAATAGCATAGGGCTTTAGTTTAGCATATGAGTCTATATGCTATGAGGTGTTGAGGTCTCTGCATGTGTAGGTTACTGACTTACTGTAATCATCGGGTCTTTCTCGTCCTTATAAAAACCTGCTCTATTTCGGCGAGTGTCTGTCTTCTTCTGTAGTCAAACCGCAAGATATCAAAATCTACCCGGATACAGCAATGCTGCTTTTTGATTGGCTGTTCAGTATATATACTTTATTTGATTGGCTTGCGCGTGGCACACAGCTTCTGAACTCTCAGAGGAACTCAGTTGATTTCTACCTGTTCGATTGTTACAGAGGTGCAACTTTGTGGACATCACCATGTTCATATAAATGCGTAAGAAATACAATGTGTGGCATGTGAGCGTGTGAACGGGTGGGAATGTGTGTGTCACACGCTGAATGCGTGAGACTTGAGAGCCCTGCAAGGCAGTAAACGCGAGACGCCCGCTTTCGCTATTTTAGATGGCTCAAAACTTGGATTATTTCGCCTTGTTGTGTACTTTCAACCACGCTCCCGTCAGGGGGGCATTCTACGGCACAACACCGGCGTGGATAAGTCCTGCTTCTCGTTCTCACAGCTTTGCAATGCTACCACAGGCTCTCCAAGCACTCCAAGTACACGTGAAGAGTGTGCGCATGATCGGAACAATGGAGTTTGGCCTATGATTGGTTCTCGTCAGCGAAGGAGCCAGGAGGATTTGCTGACCGTCCAAGTGTCATTTAAAGGGCTGATTTCTGAAGCGCTCAGTTTACGTATTGAGTCAATCACATGATAATAAAAGAACAAAAAAATCTCCCGACCCCGACCCCCCAAAACGGCGAATTTCGCCGAAAGGTGAGAGATTTTCATGTCTGCGAGTAGGCTAAGAGGTCTGATTTGATTGAGAAGTCAAGCGAGTAAGCAAGTGATGTAATGCCTTGCTGAAATTGCACGTGCAGTTTACTGAATCAGGCACAAAGCAAGAGAGTAAGGCCGCACGATATTGGAAAAAACTAACATTGCAATTTTTTTCAACCCTGCGATGTTGCGATATTAAAAATATAGGAATTTTCACCAGATGACCTGAATAGCATTTAATGTTATGCTGCACTGCTGAAATCTTGAGGACAGTTAACCTGCTCTGATCTTACCTCTTTTTGTGAATGTTAGAATGGCTTCTGTCTGTCTCAGAGATAATTTTAGCTTTTATTGTGCTGGGACATTATTGTGGCGACAGATGAACACAGAACACGTGTTTTGGTCGACATCATCCTTCTTTTAACCAAAATAATTCCAGATAACGGACTTTCCTTTTCTTTTTGGCAACAAATCTTAATTTTCGGTGGTTTTCTCTTGTTCGTTGCTCATTTTGCAATCATTGTTGTTGTTGTTAGCGGTGTTGTGCCGAGAAACGCATGTCCTCCGAGAATTGCATGCACCTCGCAAAACGCGCACCGCTTATAGTAGAGTGGTCCACGGAAATGTACCATTAAAAACCCATACAGTTCTTATTTGTTGGGCTTAACAGTCATGATTAAAGTTCCAAAAGTAATTCTCAGCGGACACGCATTTCTCGGCTCAACACCAGCAGCCAGCGAGTACCTCCATGTGCAGAACATGTGCAGGGGTGGGTTTCCTCCTCTCTGATATTGATTGACAGCTGGCAGGGTAGTCTGATTGGCAACTGAGAACTGAGTCTGATTGGCAACTGAGTAAAGGACAAAGGTGATTGGTGGGTCGCTGCACAGCACATGCACAGTCACATGCAGTGTATCTCAGTCAGCTACCCTTGAAATTAACTGAGTTCATTCACCTCCGACATCGCAGGCTCTGCGATGTGACTATCGCACACACGTATATCGTGCAGGCCCACAAGAGAGAAAAAAAACATACATTTTTCTGCGGTAGGCTCGGGTCCGTATTGGACTCTTTCCTGGTCCGGAGGTGGACCGCGGTCCGCCATATAGGGACCACTGCTTTAGGGTTTTTCCTGTTTTCTTCTCAAAAACACAGAGCCAGTGGCTTTGACGAGCAGTGGCTCAATCAATTTACCTGGCTCAGGCCTATTGAGGAAGGCATGCACTGCTATTTATGACAAAGGCACTGTGCCCCAACACAGCAGGCAATTGCTGCCTCCTTAGTGAGATAGCCATCAACCAACTACAGGCTGGACACATTAAAAAGACATGAGGTGACAGCCATTCACAAAGCAGCAGAAGAAAAGTATATTAAAGATGGTGGTACCTAAAAACAAACAACTAATAATGTTATAAAAACTAAAATAATATAGTTTAGATAGTTTAAGAAATAATTGGTTGTCGTTTTTTTTAAAGGAGGACACTGCAGCGTGATATTGCAGCACAGGTGGACAGACTGCAGATGTGGAGAGGCTCTTCTCTGCACTTAAAATTGTAATATATGATTGAAAACACTATCACTACTTATGTCTGTATCAGAATAAATACAAAAATGCTTAATGCATGATGAATTGTTTTGTTCAAGGTGAAGACACCTCTGCAGAACAGACTGAAGGAGAGGCACTTTGATGTCTGTTGTAAGGTGGCCATTGATGGACCAGACCAGGAGGCCTTGGACTACAAGGAGTGCATGAGGAGGTTCTATAGAATTAAAAAGAGGAGGCTGAAATAGTGCTGGGCGATATGGAAAAAAATGTATATCACGATATGGATCATTTTATATCACGATAACGATATATATCACGATATAGCTATGGTATGCTTTCAGTTCTATGAAAAATTAAAGTGTAAACAGCTGCCCTAGTACAGTGCCAGTACAAGACCAGCGCTTAAAACTAGAAAAATGAATAAATAAATACGTGGCTGGAGTGCGTTCATGTCTGTGCTCACCCAAAGTTATGCAACACTCACAGAAAACGCCGATAGTGTGAGCCAAAGCACTCCATAATAATAATAATAATAAATTTAATTTGTAATGCACTTTACACTTACAAAAAATCTCAAAGTGCTACAGTACACAGTAAAAAAAGAGCAGCAACAATAAAAAAAGCAATAGAATGACAGTCACAGATTGGCATAAAAAAAGGTATAAATGAATAAAAAAAATTAAGAATATAGAGTTGCAATGTAAGAGGCAAGGTAGTAAAAGCATAAAGCATAGAGGAAAGCTAACCAAAGGCTTTATTAAAAAGGTAGGTCTTTAGGGCTCTTTTGAAGAGGTTGTTCACACTGCTGGATGTTTCTCCTCCAAAGCTGCTCTCTGCCTCCATCATTGTTTACTTTACTCTTGAAGCACGTAGCAAGAACCGAGCATGAATCCGAGCGCTTTATTCGCCTATCAGGGGCAGACAGGTAAGGTGATTTGATTCGCCATGACTCCAGAAATGATTGAAAAACTACAGAATGTCACAAAATTACGCTTCCCCGCCCCTGGCTCGAAGGGTAGAAATGCGCAGCCGCGCTCCCAGCTGACAGGAAGTCACTGTTGTAGTTCTTTTGTGTTGCTAGCGCGGTCAAGAGTGTTGGCTCTCACTGAGACATGACTACAAAAATGGACGCACCTGTTCATCTGGTTGTTTAACACGGCTGAAAATGATCATCTATTAATGTTGTTCCCGCTCCTGCCCACTCCCGTTGCTTTTTTTCCCGTCCCATCCCGATCAAGGGATTAATTAAAAAATGACTCCCATCCCGTGGGATTCCCGAAGCAGATGAAACAGGTACCGGAGCGGCTGAAATAGGTCTCGGGTCCGATCAAAAGAGGTCCCGGAGCGCGCTCCGGCTTGCTCCGGCACAAATTAAGTACTGCTTACAATGATTTCCTCACGTGTGTAACCCAGGTAATCCGCAACGGCAGGAGACGCTGGACACGAAGAGGGCACGTAAAGCGGCGTCATGTCGTAAAATCGAAAGAGAAATGCGAGCCTAAATGTCAACGCATCCTTTTCTTTGTAAGAAAATATTGTTTTCTTTCCCGTTTGACACCAAATACACTTACTGAATGTGCAATTATTGTTGTTGTTACCATGAATCATCTGATGGCACAAGCCCTATGGATAAAATACAGCCTATCGCCCGAAACGATAAAAATAGAAATGGCACGATAGACATTTTCTATCGTGCCCACGATATCTATCGTCCTATCGCCCAGCACTAGGCTGAAATGTTCTGTGTCTGGTTGCGAGATGTGTGGATGAAGTGTACTTTCTATTTAAAGTTGCCAGCTGATTTGTGTATTTATATAGTTTTAATAAATAAATGCTTCAACATGATAATGGTCACATTCTTTTCGGAACTCTTAACTTTAAGCAAGGTTTTTCCTGAGTTCAAAATTGCGTGGCGGCTGCCTCCACCTAATTTTGTGCCGCCCCCAGCCAAAGCGATTGATTTCGCTCAATACAGCGTAAAGCTCCAGCTGTGTTGATTGAGCGATTGATGTCCCTCTGCAGCAGCAATGTATTTTAACTGCAGTTGCAGCATTGCGCCACTATAGAGGCACTATATCAACAGCAGTGCACCGGAAAGACCTGAAGCATCTACCGAAGAAGAAACTGATCGAATCATGTTTTTAAAGTTTTTTTCCCGCTAGTTGGTGCTATCGGCATCCTGATTTTCCCTGGCGGATGGTACAAACAGGTAAATACTGCTTGTCTTTTTTTGCATCCAAGCAAGTCGTGTTTATTAAAACAAAAAGTTTCCTCTGTTTCAGAGTAACGTTTTTGATTTTTAGCGTTGTAGATATGGCAGGCATAATCAGCCAGTACTTTAAAAAGCGACCTCGCGAGGAGGAAAGTCAAGAGTCCAGGTGAAACACAGCAGAGAAAAAACGTAACAGGCAGTTAAAATGCTATAATTCATGGTGGTGACCACGTGGAGATTTGTGTCAGGTCTGAAAGTACTTCACAAGGGACTGGTGATAGCGAGGGTCAGAATGCAGGACAGGACGAGTCGGCGAGGCGAGGGTAATTAATTAATTAGTTTCCAATTAGGAGCATAACAACGCAAAGCCAACATGTACATGGTTTTTATTCCTCTTTCTAGATCTTCTCAAAAACACAGAGCCAGTGGCTTTGACGAGCAGTGGCTCAATCAATTTACCTGGCTCAGGCATACTGAGGAAGGCATGCACTGCTATTTATGCCAAAAGCACTGTGCCCCAACACAGCAGGCAATTGCTGCCTCCTTAGTGAGATAGCCATCAACCAACTACAGGCTGGACATATTAAAAAGACATGAGGTGACAGCCATTCACAAAGCAGCAGAAGAGAAGTATATTAAAGATGGTGGTACCTAAAAACAACCAACTAATAATGTTACAAAAACTAAAATAATATAGTTTAGATAGTTTAAGAAATAATTGGTTGTCTTTTTTTTTTTTTTTTTTTTTTTTTTTTTAAAGGAGGACACTGCAGCGTATACATATAATATATGATTGAAAACACTTTCACTCTTCATGTCTGTATCAGAATAAAAACAAAAATACTTAATGCATGATGAACTGTTTTGTTTAAGGTGAAGACACCTGCAGAACAGACTGAAGGAGAGGCACTTTGATGCCTGTTGTAAGGTGGCCGTTGATGGACCAGACCAGGAGGCCTTGGACTACAAGGAGTGCATGAGGAGGTTCTACAGAATGAAAAAGAGGAGGCTGAAATGTTCTGTCTGGTTGCGAGATGTGTGGATGAAGTGTACTTTCAATTTAAAGTTGCCAGCTAATTTGTGTATGTATATAGTTTTAATAAATGAATGCTTTAACATGATAATGTTCACACATTTTTTGAACTCTTAACTTAAAGTATGTTGCCTGTAAAAGAAAGTGAGTCAGTTGAATTTACAAATACATGCACGTCATGGCGCATGGTCAGGATGGTGCCACCTCTGCCTCAATTTGAGCCAGGAAAAACCCTGTGCTGATTAGACTGCATGATTATCGCACAGGTGTGGAGTATCAAGATGCTGATTAGACAGCATGCTTATTGCACAGGTGTGCCTTAGACTGGCCATGATAAAAGGCCACTCTAAAAGGTGCAGTTTCATCACACAGCACAATGCCACAGATGTCACAGAAGTTTTGAGGAAGCATGCTGACTGCAGGAATGTCCACCAGAGTTGTTGCCCGTGAACTGAATGTTCATTTCTCCACCATAAGCCATCTCCAAAGGTGTTTCGGAGAATTTGGCAGTACATCCAACCTGCCTCACAATCACAGACCACCCTGTAACCACACTAGCCCTGGACCTCCACATTCAGCATCTTCACCTCCAAGATCATCTGAGACTCAGCCACTCAGACAGCTGCTGCAACAACTGGTTTGTATAACCAAATAATTTCTGCACAAACTGTCAGACACCGTCTCACAGAAGCTCTTTTTTTGTTCAGTGTATGACTCTGGAAAGTGGTGAACACTCAATCTCTATTAGCCAAATCTGCATTTTAATGTTTATTTGTGTTTAAGGAACAACATATTTTAGCCTGAACCCCGTTTGTAGTCCAAATATCAAGTACACAAGATTTTCTTTCTATATAGATTTATATATAGATATAGATTGTGATTATATAAGAAGTCCACTTATTTAGCCAGTAACTACTCCGCTATAATACCACAGGGTTTCCCCTACATGTAATTAATCGTGGTGCACCGCCACTAGTGCTGTGCGATTTTATCGATTCTGCGATATATATCGATATTTTGTTTCCCCAGAGAGTATCGATTTTTCAGCCGCGAGTATCGATACGCGCAGGATGTGCAATTAGGTCCGCCAGCCGCTAGTGTCGCTGTAGCGCATGTCTACTTACGGAAACGCCGACGCCTTTCTCATCTGGTTTGAGCTGAGAGATTCAGGAGAATGGCGGCGAATATAAATCCAGCACCTGCATGCTTAAAAGCAGATGTATGGGAGCATTTTGGATTCAAAAACAAGCAGGAGAGCGACAATTTGGACAAAACGATGGCGGTTTGTAAGCTTTGCCACACAAATGTGAAGTACTCCGGGAATACCACCAACCTGCGAGCCCACTTAAAACGTCACCACCCGGACAAGGTAATGCTACCTGACACTGAGCCCAAGAAGCTGCGGGGCGAGCCGCGTGACCCGAAACAAACCACGCTGGGCAGTGACAGTAGTTGGGGCCACAAGTTCCCAGCATCTTCGCCGAGGGCGCAAAAAATTACGGAGTCCATTGCCTACTTTATTTGTCAGGATTTGAGACCTTATTCGGTGGTGGAAAACACCGGCTTCAGACGCATGGTGAACGCGATGGAGCCCCGCTATCCTATCGTTAGCCGCCAACACCTCACCAATGTTTGTATGCCCAAGTTGTACGTTGAGACGAAGGCACACGTCAAAGCCTCCCTGGCCAGTGCGGAGAGAGTTGCCCTGACGTGCGACGGGTGGACCTCGCGAACAACAGAGGCATATGTCACCGTCACGGCCCACTTTATAAACGGAGAATGGGAGCTTGTTACCTATGTGTTACAAACGAGGGACATGCCCGAGAGCCACACCGGACAGAACCTTGCAGAACTTCTGCGAGAGGCCCTCGCTGAGTGGGAAATCACGGAGAAGGATCCAGTGATTGTAACTGACAATGCGGCGAATATGACTGTAGCAGCTGAGGAGGCAGCGTTCACTCTGCATGTAAAATGTTACGCACACACCCTCAATTTGGCTGCACAACGTGCCCTCAAAGTTACAGCAGTCGCACGTCTGTTGGGAAGAGTGAGACGCATTGTGAACTTCTTCAGGCGAAGCACCACAGCAAATCACATGCTGAAAGAGAAGAAGAGGCTTCTACAACTACCAAGACACACACTGATGATGGACGTGGTTACCAGGTTTGTGCATGGTTACTTTTCTATATATGATATATATATATATATATATATATATATATTTTGTTTTGTTTTTACAGAGACAGTGCACATTAATCAACATTACTGTAATTGTTTATTTTGATTTTATTACTAATTTATTTTGTAATTAATGTAAAGCAGCATTCTGTGCAGCCATGCTGTGTGAAGGTTGCTATAGGTCTATAAATACTTTCTTACTTGAATTTAACTACAGATGGAACAGTGTGCACGACATGTTGGAAAGATTTCTCGAACAACAGCCAGCCATATGTGCAGCCCTGCTCACGAGTGAGGTGAGGAAGACAGAGAAGGATCTGTGCACACTGACCGAGTCAGATGTGACAACAGCTGAAGAAGTAGTCAGCGCGCTGAAGCCCATGAAGGAGGCTACACAGTACATGTCCAAGGAGAAGACCCCTACACTGTCAGTTGTCGCACCCCTCCAGGACACATTGATCAACGGACTGAAAACAATTGAAGGTGAATCTCCAGTCATAAAAGAGATGAAGGCTGCCATGGCTGGTGATCTTCAGAAGAGGTACATCAACCTCAAGCCAACTCTCCATGCATCTTCAGCAATGGATCCAAGATTCAAAAGTCTTCCCTTCCTGACTGAGGACGAAAGACAGGAAGTTTATGATGAACTGATTGTTCAGGCTGCAAGACTGAGCATGCAGCCATCTGAGGTAAGGCAATCCAGAGAGTAAGCATATGCCTAAATAATACATTGTTCAAAGTTTAAAAGGCAAATCCTACAATGTTAACAGTTTAAAATGGGTACATATTTGATTGTTTAAAAAGCATAAATACTATTAACAGTTTAAAATGGATAAATATTAAATAGTTTAAAAAGTATAAATACTATGTTAACAATTTTAATGGCATAGTTATTAAATATAGTAATTAAAAGTTTTTTGGAGTAAAAGCTCATGAATTTCATTTCATGTTCATTCATTTGATGTAGAATGTGTACTTGAGACAGCACCCGATACTGTTACGTTATCAACGCACTGCCGTGCTCAGTGTGCTGCGTGGATACTGAGCGGAAGCTTGTGGGGGGAAAAGAGGAGCCAAACAGGTGGGAACGGTGTGCGTTCTGAGGAGGAGGAAAAGAAACAATGTCGGCTGTGTGGACATATTTTAAGATTAGCTATGCTGACCATTGCAAAGCCGACTCAGACTGTGCGGCGTGAAAGTGTCACGAGGAGGTGCGAAGCCTAGCTCGTTTGGCACGAGTAACTTGATCAAACATCTTAAGAGCAAGCACGACGCTGAGTACAAGAAGTTTTCCACCACTAGTAGCAGCAGCACAAAGCAACCAACTTTGGAGGAAACCCTGGAAAAGCGAGAGAAGCTATCAAAATCAAACCCACGGTGGGTTCAAATAACAGAAGCTCTTGCACTACTCATTGCGTATGATGACCAGCCCTTCTCACTTGTTGAATATTGGGGCTTTTGGAATTTCGTGCGTACACTTGAGCCATGGTATGATATCCCAAGCCGTCATTTCATAACAACTACTGAATTGCCAAGGATAGAGAACGCTGTGAAAGAGTACATACAATACATGCTGCATGGCGTACAGGCTTTCAGCTTCACAACTGATATTTGGAGCTGCAGTGTCACCCCCATGGCCCTCATTAGTTTAACTGCACAGTGGATCGGGGAGGATTACACGTGCAAAAGTGCCATTCTCCACGCAAAGCAATTTCCGGGTTCACATACGGGCAGAGCCATCGCTGATGAGTTTGAGGGGGTGCTTGAGATGTGGGGAATTCCGAAAAGTTCTGTTCACCTTGTCATCCGGGACAGTGCAGCAAACATGATGAAGGCCATGCGTGAAGCTGAACTTCCTAGCCTATCGTGTGTAGCCCACATGCTTCAACTGGCTGTTGGCGAGGGGTTTGTTGACCCAGAGGAGTGTGTCCCACCTGGAGGACATCCAGCTCGAACTCCTACAGCCGACAGCAAGGCTACAGCAAGACACTGGAACAGCACCTATTACATGATCCAGTCTCTTATCGAGCAGAAGCGGGCTCTGATACTCTATGCATCCCAACATGAGCTCCCCACCAGCGCCACCCTCAGCGCTCACCAGTGGACCCTCCTTGAACACACTAAAGCCGCGTTCAGACCAAACGCAACCTGACGCGACCTAGTCGCGTTGGTCGTTATATTTCCGTCGGGTCGCGCCCTGGTGTGTTCACACCGGATCCAAAGCTGCAGTCACGGAGGTCGCAGGACACGGCTGGTCGCCGCTGACCCGCTTCTCCCACCTTCCTACTCCATCCTTTTCTTCCTCATATATACATCCCGCAGTCCCTACCAGCGCTTGCAGCACACATCCACTGCAAAGACACACAGCAGGGGAAGTGTGCTATGTTTTCAGAAAATAGTCTGCTCACTGAAATAAATAAACAAACAAATTTAACAGAAAGCCCGACATCATGGGCCACCTTCGCTCATGCCTCCTCCTTGTAGGTGCGGTCCCGGTAGAACGCGCACACCATGTCGTACAGGACCGGGTGATAACTCACCGCAGTGATAAGCTGCTCCTCCATTGTGATTCTTCTTCTCCTCCTCCTTGCTTCGCCGGTTTGTTGACGTCAGCAGAGCCCTGATTGGCTGTCGCGGCACGGAGTCGCTCCCAAAGTTCAAATACTTGAACCTTGGGAGCGACGCAACTTGGCGTCCTGCGACCTCGGGCGACGCAACGTCGGCAACCATGTGCGACTTGGTCGCCGAGGTCGCTGACGTTGCGTCGCCGGCAGCTGGCGGTCGTCAAGTCGCATCAGGTCGCGGCTGTCCATAGACTTTGCATTGGGGGTCGTTGCTCACGTCGCCGAGGTCGCGTTTGGTCTGAACGCGGCTTAAGACTGTCCTTGCCCCGTTTGAGGAGATGACCAAAAAAGTGAGCAAAGCTGACGCCATGGCGTCTGATGTGATACCTGCCGTGACTGTGTTTCTCGAGTTTTTGACACAAGCTGAAAGGGAACAGGACCATGGCATCAAAACGATGAAGGCAACCTTGACTGCCGCCGTGACAAGACGCCTCTTCAACACGGAACGAAACCCACTCTACAGCATCGCCACTGTACTAGATCTGAGGTATGTGTGCGTGTGTGTGCGTGTCAGAGAGGGACTGCTGTCTGCAGAAGAAGCAGATGTGGTGGACGCTCCTGCCAGAAAGCACCGCAAGGCCCAAGCCACTAGCAGCCTGGACAGTGTGTATGATAAAATAGCTAATGAGCGAGCATCACAGAGCACTGCACCAGAGGGTGGGGCCATTGAATTTGAGAAATATGTTGGGGAGGGCCTAGCTGACAAGCATGACAACCCACTGCAGTACTGGGGAGTCAACAGAAAGAGATTTCCCACTCTTGCCCAGATGTCCAGAAAATACCTGTCGGCCCCTTGTAGCAGTGTGAAGAGTGAGAGGCTTTTTAGCGCTGTGTCAAACGTGGATGAAGCCAGAAACAGGATCACTGCTGAGAACACAGATGATTCTCTTCATCAAAAAAAACCTGCCTCTCACTCCACTCTTTAAACCCTAGTCCCCTTCACAGAAATGTGTGTAGCTCTACTTGTAGCAATTGAAAGCTGTTTTGATTTTATTTTATAGATTTTATATTCTCTCTTGAGTTCAGACTGAGTGAAAAGAGCTGGGATTAATCCCACATGTGTAGTGCTGTTGAATAAGTTGTTTAAAATAATAGAATAGTTGAAATGATAGAAATGTTCTTGTTTTTGTTCAAGACTGGCAAAAAATAAATAACTGTTATTCATAAAAACTCTTATTTGTCATGATTTTAAACAATTTCGCTGCCGCCAGCGAAGCAGCAGTGGCACGACAGAGCTGCCTCCCATGCAGCCCACCACCACAGGTTAAAAAAATCCCAGGGGAAACCCTGTACCATCCTGGCTTTTATCATTTACCATAACATAAATCCCTATTATCAGCTGTGCAGTGCAGGCAGCAGGCCTGGAGTTTATAAGGTGCTCTGTATACCTTACCCCGTTATCCTGTGTGTGATGATTTTGACTCCAAAGGGCGATTCTCCCATAGCACTGAAGGCCTGCTTGATGAAGTTTTCATCCATGTATGGGTCCAACTATAGACATAGAGAAAAATGTGTTCACCCTGAGAGTTTTGAAGTGTCAGATTCTTTTTCCAAGCTCAGCCCTCTGCCAGCTCCATAGACTTGAAGCATGCCAGTTTCAGAGTTTTTTAAATACTCTGGCTGTGTCTCATTTCAGAGACCGCATCGTGATAAGCGCGCTTAACGGCGCTTAGCTGAGTGCACTGCCGTTTTGTGCCGTATTGTGCCGTTTTGCGCCGTTCTGAGCCCTTCCTGTGTCCCATTTCAGATACAGCAGCCTTCGAACGGCGCATCTGACGCGTACGTGAGGTCACCACGCGGCACGAACGGTGTCCCGTTTGGCACAAAATACTAAGCGCGCTTCAAATTCGGTCTCAAAACCACACTACCCCCGCCTCTTTTTCAAGCGTGCATGTATGCACGCTTTCGTGCCGTCGGTATCCCAGAATTCTTTGCGTGCCGCTGCACAGCTGTGCATTTCAGGTGAGATGCTGGACTCGCTTGGAGACACAGCGCGTCTTCGAAGAAAATACAAGCAGTCCAAAAACAGCAGACAGTCAGCTCAGGCTGTATGAGCGCATGATCTCTGAACTCACTAAAATCTGTAAACCAAACATTATAGATTTAGAGACGAACTGATCCGCTCTGCTTCAACAATCAAAAACATTAAAAATAAGAAAGCTGACAAAACTACAGCAGAGTATCAGGACAACATTGATTTTTTTTTTCTTTAAGATTTAGAGATTAAAGTTGTACATTTAGGAGAATAAAGTCATAAAGTTTATAAAGTCATAAAGCTGCTTTTGTGGAGGGGGAAATGACTGAAGCTGGTCATCTGCAGGGTTATCTGTGGATGTATCAGCGGGTCATTCAGAGAGATTTTGTGGTTCCTGAAGAAACAATCAAACTGATGATGATCAACATTTGTGATCCAGAGGGAGTCGAGCTCAGACGAGCACCACGTCTCTGACACCGGCCGTAGCCTACACCTGCAGAGACACCAACACCTTATTACTGCATATGGATTCATATCATAAACTAAAGCTCAATGTCATTCACGGATATTTACGGCTGCATTGACAGATATATCCTCAGCATATATCCTGAGCTGACTGTCTGCTGTTTTTGGACTGCTTGTAATTTCTTTGAAGACGCGCTGTGTCTCCAAGCGAGTCCAGCCTCTCACCTGAAATGCACAGCTGTGCAGCGGCACGCAAAGAATTCTGGGATACCGACGGCACGAAAGCGTGCATACATGCACGCTTGAAAAAGAGGCGGGGGTAGTGTGGTTTTGAGACCGAATTTGAAGCGCGCTTAGTATTTTGTGCCAAACGGGACACCGTTCGTGCCGCGTGGTGACCTCACGTACGCGTCAGATGCGCCGTTCGAAGGCTGCTGTATCTGAAATGGGACACAGGAAGGGCTCAGAACGGCGCAAAACGGCAATTAAAAGATTGATTTTTGTTTTCGTATTTTCAGTTCATAATAGAATATATAATAGAGATGGAAATGAAAACAAAATAATAAATCTACTTTTCATTTTCGGGTTATTGATGTCTCCATTTCCCACAGTGCCTTTCTACTGTTTGCACATGCACATTGCGCAACAAAGTAGCCAACAACGTGGACCAAAAACCCCAGGCCGGAGCGGTAGAGAAAGGCTAACCTGCTGTCATGGAGATGGACACATCCTAAGTATTATTCAAAGCCACCAGTAGGGTCACGCTGAAGGAGGAAGATATGACTGTAGAAAAAATTACAACCAGAGCTCTGTTACAACATAAGATTTTGGCGCTCAAACTGCTCTGTCGCATCTTTAGCCATGGTAACTGTCGCTGAGGATTATGGGAAGGCCAATGTAGCCTCCAATGCACGCATGCTCAAAACAGGCACACTCAAAATCAATTATTGTAAATAAGATTTAATATTGCGTTTTCCTTTCCTTCTCTGTTATATATTCGGTTTTGAGCTGAAAATACAAAAACAAACACTATTTTTTTATTTTTTGTTGATGTAGAAAAACAAATCAACAAAATATTGACTCGTTTTTCGTTGACTAAATTGAATGGAATAATCAAATAAATGGACAATACAGACCGATCTTAATAGTGCTGTCCATGCAAGCCGACCCAAGAATACCCGAGGACTGTGGACAAAATCCAAAGGGGTAGAATGGAAAAACTTGCAGTTGACAATTTTTTACCTCTTGTAACAGACAAGTTCCATTCTTTGACTATTTCCTGCCAATGCTGATGATGTGCCATTACCACTGAGTACCCCACATATACTATTAGTATTATTTTGAGTCGGTTGACTTGCTCGTGCACCAATCCAAAATGTCTCTAGCGCCACTTTCGTAAATGTTTTGTGCCAAACTTTTCAGAACAACCAAGGTTTGTCACATAAGTGTTTACACAACTAAAATATGATGCTCATAGCCCTGAATTAAACATCAATGTTCCTCTGATGGTAGTCCAGCCACTCACGATCACACATCAAAGCTAACTTTATGTAACTAAGCTAGCAACAAGCATGAGCCACCAAGCTAACGTCCCCGAACAGAGAAAAAGTGATAATTTGTACTTACATCACCCATCCAGAGGCTCGTCTGCCTGTTAAACATCTTTGACTCTGTGGGAGAGGTTGAGCTATACAGGAGTTCGTTGGTGTTTAAGAGAGTTGCCAAAATAAAGTTGAAGCTCTCCAACACGTTCACACACCGCGGAGCTAACCGTGCTGCTTATTCCGTTTTGAGGCAGCGTAACGTCACTTCCGCCGAGAACTGTTACTGTTGTTGTATAGGTTTTCACTTGACGTCACTACCGTGTTACGCGGCCTTCTCGAAGTCAGGTTGTTTGGGAATGCAGCCCAAAGCGGGGGGGGGGGGGGGGTATTGCACAAAAGTAGAATAACGAAATCCAGGATAACTGAGCAAGCGCGGCTTCACTTAGTCTTACTCTGCGCATCTTGGCTTAATTGTTTGCACGTTTGCAGGGCCGTAGACAGGATTTTGGAATAGGTGAGGTCCATGATGAAATTTTTTTTGATGTTTTTTTTTTTTTTTTTAATTAATTTTAATTTTAATTTTATTTTTTTTAGGCTACAAGTCACACAATATGTTTATTGTCTCCTCTGTGTGCCTCTGCTCTTCAATCTCTGAACGACTCTCCTCTCTGTGCTCCACCTTACTTTCCCTATTTTCTCTTCCATCCTCCTTGGTTTCATGTTTACTATCTTCCTCTTTGTCAATTTCTTTCTTTTTCTATGCTAGAAATGCATCCAGTGTATTCTGTTTTAATCTCTTGGACATGTTTGCCCTGCTCTCTGTGACTTGATTTCTGTGGGATGGGTATATTAAAATTAATATGAGCTTAAAACTTGCTAGATGAACTGAACTATAATATCTAAAAGTGCCCCCTCTAACTTTCTTACCCATGGGTACTTTCACTTATCAAATGATTTCTTGAAGTTGACATAGAAGGTACAGTAGGTCTACTGTTTTTAAACTGTTGGGTTTATTTTGTAGCGGCTTTAGAAGATCGCTATCATGCAAACGTGTAAAAATAACTTCGAAGTCGCCTGAACTGCACTATACAGAGCACGCGTTACGTGACTCGAGTGCTGCGTCCGAATGGCCCGCTCGGATACTACATGCTACTGCTACATACTACTGCTAGATCCTACTCCTACATACTAAACACGTTGGCCCAATTCGGACACACTAGACGAGCGGTGGGGAAAGACGACCCCCGCAGGCAGAGAGTAGGTACTGCGCCCGTTTTAGACTGAACGGTAATTGTGCAAGTGATGGATGCTGCTGTATTATATTCCTGCACTGCTTTAGAAATTCACAAAGTAGCTTTTCCATGACTTTTAGTCTTCATTCACTCACGTGGTGATCGTTTGTTCAATGAGATCTGCCTGATTACTGCAGCTGTGCAGTTTAGTGATGGAATAAGTGAGCTTTACCTCCATGATGTCGCCACATATTTGCTCATAAAATGATTACTTGGGCAAATATGACACCGTGACATGACAAAGAGATACAACCGCACATTTTTTAGGACAGTGTGTGAAGTTACATGAAACTTACATCTGTACTGCTGCGGTCCTGCCCCCTGCTGCTGCTGCTGCTGCTGCTGCTGCTTCGCCATGGTGCGCGCTGCTGTGGCCAGCCGGTGTTCGCGACACATTTAAATAGGCAGAGCAGCTGGTGGCGCTAGCATCACATGCGCTTCTACAACTTTTAAGAGGATGAAGAAGAAGCCCGCGGTGCATTTTGGGTCAGTAGCATGCCCGTAGGATGCACCGAGACCAACCTACAATGTGGGCGTGTCTAGTACCTGAAGTAGTATCTGAAGTGGCATGCTACTCGCTCCGGTGGCCAATTCGGACATGCTAGATACTACTTCGACTACTACTTCGACTACTACTTGGCAATTCGGACGCAGCTGAGGTCAGTAGTCGCATCATCGTGACGCGTGCTCGGCCAGCTGATGAGCCGGTGTTATGCCTTAGAATGCATCCCTGCCGTAGAATGCACCCCCTGCCTCCAATCCACTCATTCGCTTCTTAAAGTGGAAGAAAATGATCTCATATTTAAAAACACAAATATCGGATCATGACAACATGTCAAATGGAGCAGCAAACTTTCGTTCTGTTTTTATATCTCAGATATGCATACATAGAGGTGTACAGTAAGCTGTCACGGTAGAGAACATTACATATTCGGGACAGCAAATATTCCCAATCAGAGGGCTATTGTTTTCGGCTAATCATTACAGGCATACGCTTTTGAATCCATCCAATGGTAAGGAAAACTCGAATTATTTCGCCTTGTTATGTACTTTCAACCGCGCTTCCGTCAGGGGGTGCATTCTACGGCAGGGGTGCATTCTTCGGCATAACACCTGTTACACCTGGCGCTCATCATAAAAAAAAGCTCCGGGCGCGCTCTCTGCTGTGGATAAAAGTAAATAAATTGGCTTTGATCAGGTGATTTGACAGGCCGAACTAGTGCCGAATTATCTGAAAAAAATATATTGTGGGCACCTAGGTGTAGATGGGCACGGATGTGGTCTACAAATTGCTAATAATAAAAACACTATAGTTTTTGAATGGGGTTTCACAGGGCGCAGTCGCGGGTACGTGCATCAGCTGATCAAACAGCTGTTCACTGCAACACGCACACAGGCACAAACAGAACACAAAGCCCATGGATGTTTACCACAATTTTTCTGTTTCACAGAGAGGTTTCAAGTTTTATTCAGTTGGGCATATTTGGCGAAAACAAACAAACAAAACAAAAACGGAAAAAATAGGTGAGGTCCGGACCTCGCTGACCTCATACCTGGCTACGGCCATGCACGTTTGCCGAGCCAGGTGCTGTGTACGAATTGCCCGCTCGCATACTACATGCTACTGCTACATACTACTGCTAGATCCTACTCCTACATACTAAACACGTTGGCCCAATTCGGACACACTAGACGAGCGGTGGGGAAAGACGACCCCCGCAGGCAGAGAATAGGTACTGCCAGAGCAGTGGCTTAAACACCTATTCATTTATCAACCGTGCGATTGCACAGATGTGGGCTTAAAGAGTGCGTACGAACATTCCTGTGCAAAGTCTGAAATTTATCAACCTATACTTGTGCTTAGGAACGTGCGTAAATTTAAGCACGACTCTGACCATGCGTACACACAAAATCTAGTGGTAGAACAGTGAAACTACAAATAGAGCCCAATAGAGGAGACAGCGTTCAGCGATCTCAAACTTCACACATGTTCTCCGTTGCCTCTAATTAATGAAATTTATCAATTATTTATTTAGCAGACATTTTGAATAATTGGTGTGACAAGCTATAAAAGACAGCTGTGACAGGACAACCTCAAAATAAGTCTGACAAGTATGAAAATACAATTACCATGGCTTATCTTGCACTATTGGAAGACTTAGAGAACCGTATGCTCCGCAGGGAGCGCGTTTTCAAAGACTGTGCTGATCTGCTCAGTGAGAACACAGAGTGGCTTCTTAGCAGGTACCGCTTTCCCAAGAATATTTTAATGGATTTATGCCGTGAGTTACAGCCCGTGTTGGAGCGACAGACAAAACGCACCCAAGCCATCCCGGTGCACATCCAGCTCCTGTCCACCCTGGGATTTTTGGCCACCAGAACATTTCAATGCGAGGTTGGAGACATATGCGGCATTTCGCAGCCAACACTGAGCAGAACAATGCCGGCAGTGTTGGATGCAATAATCTCTCTGGCCTCAACTTACATTCAGTTCCCATACACACATCAGCAACAAGCCGAAATAAAACGAGGATTTCACGCCATCGCCGCATTTCCAAACATAATTGGAGCCATAGACTGCACCCACATCGCAATATAAGCACTTTCACACAATGAATTCAGTTTTGTTAACAGGAAGGGATTTCATTCAGTCAATACTCAAATAATCTACGATGCAGATATGTATCTGTTAAACGTTGTTGCCCGGTGGCCTGGAGGAACGCACGACTCATTTATTTTACAAAACAGCTCTGTGGGTGTGCACCTCCAAGCAGGAGCTGTTGACGATGGCTGGCTTATTGGTGAGTGTTACAACATTTCGAAATTATTTTCTGGGCTGCGTATGGTTTACTATAATATCTCTGGTGATCGTGGATATCCATTAAAGCCGTGGCTGATGACCCCCGTAGCCAACCCAAGGACCCCGCAGGAGCAGCGTTACAACCGGGCCCATGCGCGCTCAAGAACGGCCGTTGAACGCGCAATAGGCCTGCTAAAAGGCCGATGGCTGTGCCTGTCCAGCGCGGGGGGGACACAGTACAAGCCTGAAAAAGTCTGCCACATCATCTTGGCTTGCAGTGTGCTTCATAATGTAGCAATCAGACAAGGTGTCCCTCTACAGGAACACCCCCGAGCAGACGAACCCATGCCATACGCAGAGCATTTCCCACCCCCTAATGCCGCTGCCATTCAAACAAGAGAGAGACTCATACAGAGATTTTAGGTAAATTTGCCTGTAAAGCGATCTTTGAAAACTGAGAAATTTCAGATCGAAAGTATACGATGGACAAATAATTTCAACATTTCAAAGTTTATTTGGACAACATTTGTGAGGCGCATGCAGCGATCTGTTTAAGTGGCTCATTTATTTGCATCAAAGTATTTGCTATGTTGGTGAGCTGCTCCTTTATTTCAATTATTGCTTTCGTGGGGTCTTGTTGCTTTTGTAGTACTGCCTCCGTCAGAACCCTCGGTCCCACAGGACGCACCGAATGGGTACTGGATGGCCCCGGCTGCTCCTGCTCCTCCAACTCCCCCGGCTCTTCCACCGCCTCCGGCTCCTGGAGGCAGGCGGGGCTGGCTTAAGTTCCTGAGTTATTGAAGAAACATCACATGATTGTCACGTTCATTTCAATTCTGTCTGAATAAATGTTTATGAAACACCTCAGTCCAGCTTTTTATTTTACCTGCTGTGTGACTGGTCGATGGTACAGCTGTTCGGGGAGTAGCTGTGTCTCCGTTAGGAATGATTCCAATTAATGATGTGCTTCCTATTATGCTGGCAATGCGGGTGTCCAGTGGTGAAAGTTGAGTAGTGGTTTGTCCTCCTCCGGTCATAGATATTTCCTGTCTGTGAGCCGTGACTTGTTTTTTGGCTCTGATTTTAACATCAAACCATTTCTTTTTTATTTCGGAAAGTGGTCTTGCCGCCGACCCCAAAGCATTCACAGCAGCCGTCACTTTCTCCCAGGTGGCATATTTTCTTTTGTTCGTAACTCCTGCATTCAATGTTCCAAATAAAACTTTTGATTAGTTTCTACCTCTCCAACCAGTACCTCAAGCTCAGCGTCCGAAAAATTCCTCTTCTTCGACCTCTTTGCCATGATTTCGACGAGGGGGAAAAATCCATTCAAGCATTTTTAAAGGGATTGTTGATACCATATGTGGTCAATAAGAGGCGTTTCTGAATGCAAATGACCCTAACCATGCACGAGCACGGTGGTTAAGAACAGGTGGGATTTATCATCACCGATTACTTACTGGTGTGCGTACGACCGGTGTCCGCATGTTTGATAAATACGGATTTTTTTGTACTTACGCACATTCTAAATTTCATTCCTACGCAAGAATATAGAACCTTTTCTACGCACGATTGATAAATAAGGCCCCTGAAGACTTGGGGCTGTTCAGAAGGAAAGCCCACTCAGATCTCCTGGACATACAGGGGAAATGATTTGGCCAAAAATCAGGGAAAAATTACTCAGAAATACAGGGAAAAAATTACCTAGAAAAACGGGCCGAAAATTAATTACTCAGAAAAGCCGTTTGTTTTAAACTCAAGTACATACAATATGCTTCCGTAACACTCGAACTGTCATCATTATTATTTAAGGAGTTACTTTCCACTAATCACCAGTTGTACACTTTGCTTTAAATGAGGTAAGTAGAAGTGCATGTTACTCAGGAAATGTAGAATATAATTACCTGCAAACAATTATCCACAATGTGTGTCAGTGTTGTCTAATTAATGTTTTTCCCCATGTCATCTTTTTTTAATCTATTTTATATATCTATTCTTCATAAAGAACAAACTTGTCTGACCAGAGAAGGACCTGGCAGCAAGTCAAAATAAAATACAAGAACATTTTACAGACAGGTAAGTGACTTTAGTCAAGATAACAATGAACAAATGCAGTGAATAGTTTAAGTGTCTGCTGACATGTTGAATATCTGTATAATTGTAGCAGTAAAAAAAAAAGCCCATAAAAGTGGCACGGGGGACTGCCCACCAAGCCAGGATTTCACCCCAGTGGAGGAGCTGGCCCTCCATGCGAATAAAGGGAGGCCAGTGATGGAGGGGATCCAGGGAGGGACGGCCACAGACTGTGTCCCAGCAACACAAACTGGCTGCTTCATACAAGGTACATATTGCAGTACGACTGCACATGGAACACAATTAAATAAATATATTATACTGTCTGACTTTGGATTTCCGTGCAGTGTCTGGGAACACACTGACACTTTTGGAGCCACCAGAAGATGATCCGGTTAGAACATTTGATTGAAATCACAGGCTTGGCATGTCCTGTCAAAAATCTTCAGAGAAGATATGCATGCATGTGTATGGCAGGGGGAAGGCACTTCTGCAGCGGCGGGATGCACTTTAGCAGATGAGGAGACCATCTCAGTAGACTCCAGAAGGCATGAAGTACCATGTCAATTTTTTGGAAATATCCTGATTTATTTAGTCCACTGAGGTCAGTGATTTGGTGCTAATACAAAATAACATGTGTCACAGGACCCAGACTCTGCACAGCCTCCTAGGCAGCCTGGTAACATTGTGAGTATTGGCTTAAGTAAATCTACATTTTGCATAAATTGTGCTCTACTAATTGATATTTATTTTACAGAATTCACAAACGGTCCGAGCTCTATATGCTCAATATCTTCAGAAGCAGATCGCGCTTGCAGATGTGAAAATCCAATTGAAGAGCAGAATCTAGAGTCAGAATCTTGATTTAGAGATCAAACGCAGGACCCTCAGGAAACTGGACCTGGAGATCCAGAAACTAGAACGAGAAGTGAGTATTTCAGTGCATGCTATACCTGTAGCATGCTTTTATGGGCAGTGTATTAATATTTGTACTTTTGCTCTCTCTATTCCAGCTTCCAAACAACACGTGACTGTGAAATAAAAAGGAAAAAAAAACTGAAACATTGTGATGTCCTCTTTTTCATGAATGTGTAGTATACCACTGATTTAGTGACACGGAATTTAAAAGAACCACACACTGTGCCAGACAAAGCGTTCATACACAGCAAAAAGTAACAGAAAATTCTTTATTAAAAGAGGCTACATCCAAAGACTAAGTAAAATAATTCACAATGTATTGCTCCCTGACCGGTCTGCCATTAATGTTGTCTGGCAAAATGGGAACATTTTCCCGTTTAATTCCCGGGGCGTTTAATTCTCACATGGGTGCAATCTATTGCACCAATGACATTAGGGAAGGCTGTAACAAAAATAGTGAGCATCCAATTGTGCCTGATGAAATTCGAAAGTAGTGGTTGCAAGTTGAAATGGATGTTACCTGCATCTTGTAAAACTCCTCCTTGATGTAGAGGGATCTTCTGTGGCCAGGGAAGGTGATGAATATATGTGTGAGTTAGGCCTGAACGATATATCGTTTGACTATCGTCATCGCGATGTACGTGTGTGCGATAGTCACATCGCAGAGCCTGCGATATTGGAGGTGAATGAACTCATTTAATTTCAAGGGTAACCGACTGAGATACACTCCATGTGACTCTGCATGTGCTGTGCAGCGATCCACCAATCGCCTTCGTCCTTAACTCAGTTGCCAATCAGACTCACTTCTCAGTTGCCAATCAGACTACCCTGCCAGCTGTCAATCAAAATCAGGGAGGAGAAAACCCACCCCTGCACATGTTCTGCACATGGAGGGAGACGTGTGTCCGCTGAGAATTACTTTCGGAACTTTACTCATGACTATTAAGCCCAACAAATAAGAACTGTATGGGTTTTAAATTGTACATTTCCGTGGACCACTCTACTATAAGCAGTGCGCGTTTTGCGAGGTGCATGCAATTCTCGGAGGACATGCGTTTCTCAGCACAACACCGCTAACAACAACAACAACGATCGCAAAATGAACAACGAACAAGCGAAAACCACCGAAAATGAAGATTTGTTGCCAAAAAGAAAAGGAAAGTCAGTTATCTGGAATTATTTCGGTTAAAAGAAGGATGATGTCGACCAAAACACGTCTTCTGTGTTCACCTGTTGCCACAATAACGTCCCAGCACAATAAAAGCTAAAAATATCTCTGAGACAGACAGAAGCCGTTCTACTAACATTCACAAAAAGAGGTAAGATCAGAGCAGATTAACTGTCCTCAAGATTTCAGCAGTGCAGCATAACATTAAGTGCTATTCAGGTCATCTGGTGAAAATACTGTATTTTTAATATCGCAATATATATCGCAGGGTTGAAAAAATCGCAATATTATTTTTTTTCCAATATCGTGCAGCCTTAGTGTGAGTGCCTTCAGTGCCAGACAAACACGTCTTATTGTTCCTTTATTGAGGTTCTCTGCATCCCCAACAGAATACAGGAAGCTCCCGCTCGCAAGGAACCTCAATGTCACACAAACCATCTGTGGTACGGTGAGGGCATGGCTTCGTCCTGTCTGGTGCTGAATTTTAGGACCCAGCAGTCTACATAAATATCGGAGTCCATCACCAGAGAAGCGATATCTCTCAATGAGATATTCGTCTCCGAAGGCCAATGGGTCCGACCTGTCCCAGAACACTCTTTGCCGCCTAAATGCTCGTCTGAGGATTAGGGCTTCCTCATCCAAAACATCCTCCAAAAAAGGGCATGCCATGATGAAGAGGAAATAGGTGAATGGGAGTTGGACCTATATATACTTCTGCCCTCGTCACAGACTGAATTGAAACCGCCTTTGCTACCTCATCAGCCATTTTTTCTAATCTCAGTAACTTTAATATTTCACAAATTCATCAAATCTCTGATGGCAATTTGACAAGCAGTCTTCATTTGCATAGCAATATAACACTAGAGCTGACAGTAAACATTATGCCACATGAATTAATATAAAAAGACAGTCAACAGACTTCAATAAAATGACAAATTACAATATATCTGTAATATTTTAATGTAGATCGATTACAATGATGCAACATATTTACAAAGATCATGAAAATGCTGTGAAACATACTAATGTCTCACAGGCTTGACAGTCAAACTACCAGATGAATCACTAGGATTAATCTTAGCCTAGTTGTTAGCCTGGTCTGGAGCAGGCTCGCTGCAGAGAATAAATCACCATAGTAACTTGACCAGGTTAAATTTGACCTGCTTTCATGCAACTGACTCGAGGCTAAATTCAGCCAGGATAACAAACATTGACTTGACTTAGGTCGCAACGCGGCGAGAGCGAACATGGTTGCGCCAAACGTCACAATCCTTCATCAGTGAAGCTAGCTCGCTGGCACTCTTCGCTCCAGTATCCTTCTTTAGGGTATCCACATACGATGTTCGTGGCCGCCCTCTATTTCTGTGGCCGTGCTTTGGCTCCCATAGCAAGACTTTCTGGGTGCTCAGCTCAGGGTGGCGGTGGCAGTGTCCTGCAAGCTGGAGTCTCTTGGCTGCTATCTTGTCAGCGACTGCGGGCAGTTCGCCGTAAAGCACTTCGTTGGTTGTGTGTGAGCTCCAGTGTACATTTAGGACCCTGCGTAGCATGCGTGTGTAGGTACCATTGAGGGACTTTTCCATTGCATTATTCAATGCCCAACTCTCGCACCCGTATATGAGGATTGACTCGACCGTGGCGACGAAGAAACGCTTCTTCAGGCCTGGATTCATGTTGGACTTCCATATCCTGTCCATATCATTGAGGGCTTTCCAGGCCAACCCCTTTCTGACTTTGATGTCCTTCAGGGATTCATCTACCCAGGATCCAAGGTACTTAAAGTCGTTCTTCTCCTCTAGGACGGTGCCGTTACGAGTGACCAGAGGAGAGTGCCGGACAAGAGGAGGATGATCATCGATGTTGTAGGCCAGGTATTTGGTTTTTGGGCCATTGAGTCTGAGACCTACTTTGTTGCATTCAGTCTCTACTCTAAGGAGGAGTTCCTGGGCTTGTTCCACGGCGTCAGATAGCAGGGCAATGTCGTCTGCGACAAACATATCCCGGCTTAATCCCTTATCTTGGTTTTGTGCAATACCCCCCGGGTGTTAAACTCCATCTAAGGCTAAATACCAGCATGCATCTAAACCGGCACATCTCCTCCATTGCAGTCGGTTGCTTCCTGCCCTCCATTTGGTCCTCGCGCAAAGTCAGGATCACGTGACTGAAAACCTCCTATAATGATATACGATATTCATTTAAAAATTCTTCCCTCTTTTTCTAAATTAATAACATTTTTATCAGAACTAAGAGTGAACTTTTTGTTAACTAAGACAATCTGTCCTGTTTTCTGAATTAGAATAAATAAGATAATTACATGAGAAAAAAGGAGGAAAAGATGATGAATAAAAATGTCCCCTTTTCTCCTGAATTGACAAAATAGCTTTCTCTTTAATTGGGAGAAACAGGGCAAAAGGTTCTGTTCTAATGTGAACACATAAAGCCTCCATAAAAAAAGCAATGAAGAGAAAAAGTGATGTATCTTTTGTGGGTGAGTGACTGTCAGGTTGAGGTAGCCTTTTCTCAGATGTTAAATGTTGTTACACATTTTAAAGACCATTTCCTTCAAACAAGTTTTTCTGCTTGCCACACTGCAAATATTTTGTTTAAATGTTGACAGCAGAGGTGGAGGAAAGTCCTTATGTTGCAAGTTCAAGTTGAGTCTCAAGTCTTTGCTCTCAAGTCCGAGGCAAGTCCAAGTCCTTTGCTCTCAAGTCTCAAGTCAAGTCCAAGTCAACACAGACAAGTCTCAAGTCAAGTCCAAGTCCTTACTGTTTCTTTCAAGTCGAAAACAAGTCATATCAAAGCCATAAACCATTTGGTATATGTAAAGATTTACATAAATCATGAGCATTTTTCACTATTTGCATTTATTATTAAACAAGTGTTCTTTTTTGTGTTAAGTTACATAGTGCAGCTTTAACCAAACAATTTTACATGTCATACCAAAAATAATAAGATAAACTTCAATAATTGGAAACTTAGACAATGTGCACAAAAGTAAGGAAGACTCAAATACAATTAAACATTAAACTGATACTCTAATTCACTGTTCCAAAACAAAGAGAGACACAAGGCAACACATGGAAACAGGCAGGCAATACTAGCGAGCGATTTATGTTCAGTCCTCCCAGTGTTGTCGTTATGAGGGAGGCTAGAGTTTGAGACAGTGTTGCCAAGTTTCATGAGAGAAATAAGGAAACAGACCTCCAGAAACAAGCCAAAAACAAGCAAATTTTTTTGCGGGATAAGTAAGAAGACTTGGAAACACAACACGGTGTTACCAACGGCCGTAATTCCTGACTATTAGTTGATGCGACACTTTTTAAATGGTTTGGGCTTGCTGAAAGGTATTACATGACTTGAAAAGACTTGAGTTGACTTTTCAAGTCACTGGGCTCAAGTCAAGTCAAGTCTCAAGTCTAGCAATCAAGTCCCAAGCAAGTCCAAGTCATCTTGATTTCATCAAGCAAGTTAAAAACGGGACTCAAGTCCAAGTCGAGTCGTCAAGCCCCCACCTCTGTTATTTTATACTAGGGAGGTGAATGCCCCAATTTAAGAACACCACAGGTTTTATCCAGAGAAACCAGTGACACACAGAGAGCTAAAAATACATAGTGATGTTAGAGAGGGTGGATCGGTGTAACAGAGTCATATATACTATCCCTGCAGGTTTGTTGATTGATGAGAGTCATGTTGACCATGGCTGTGTCTTTAACTTGTAACATTGCATCCTTAAATTGCATCATTTCCTCACCTTAGCTTTCACCTGCATAAAGGAGAGGCCAAAGTAAGATTCACAAGGACAGGAGAGGAATATTTGTCAAATGGTAAATGGACCATGTTTCTATAGTGTTTTCTCTAGTCTTCTGAAAACCTAAGAGCACTTTTGCATCATATGTCACATTCACACACTGATGGCAGAGGCTGCTATAGTCCATTGGTTTTTAACTAATCCCATGCAGACAGCACTGGGCATAGC